TGAGAGGGAGGCAGTGAGGCAGAGGGCAGTGTGATGAGAGGGAGGCTATGAGTCTGTCGCTGCTGTTGCTAATGAGAGCAGTATGGCCTTTGATGCCAGAGCAATGACAGCTTTTGGGAGCTCGGGCCTGCCCTCCATTTGCAGCAGTCATCACAGAGCTCTCCACTCCAGCTGTTAACCACTTACTCACTAATTATTGCAGGCTTTTTAATTAGTTATGCTAAGTGCTTTTTTTCAGTTATTTCCAGCTTCCGTGCTAATTTGGGGGCCTGCTCTCCTGCAGGAAGACCTGCTCAGTGTGAGTGAGGGCGCTGTGCACTCCTGCAGAGCTGAGCCATCAGGGGAAACTCTAAAGCCCTGCAGAGGCAGCTGTGACACACCAGTCGTGAAGCTTTAACAGAGCTGTAAACATAGCCGCTGCAATTCCAAAATATCTTGATTCAGTAAATTAGCAGTTCTGAATCAAGTACTTAAATGGATATAGTTTACACGTTGATTCGAAACGAGTAGTGCTGGTGTGTTCTGAACAATCTGTGTCTTAATGCAGAGAGCACTTCAAGCACCTCTCAGCAACACGGAATGTTTTGTTAAGGTCCTTTTTGAAAATGTGCTGCACAGCCTGATGCTTGTGAACCTATTAAATCACACATTTCATTTGCTGGGTCGTCAGCCGCTGAAGCAAATTGATTTTGCGCAGCTGGAGGAAGGAACACTTGATTATTTACACATATGAGTTTATGAATAGCAGGCAGCACAGCGTAGTGACTTCCCCCTTTGACAAAGGGGCACTAATGTGCTCAGTTCTCACTGACTAACAGGTTTAGCAGCACGAGTCATGGCTTTAAAATGAGTCTTCCTTCAGTTCCTGACCTCTATCGGCGCTGATGCGGAGTGGCTGGGGTCCGCTCTCAGGGGGCACACAGTGCGGGTGTGGGTGCGGACTGAGTCAATTACAGTGTTTTTCAGGACTGGGACCGTCTACTGGGATTTCCTTCTCTCTTTTTATCGGTTCTGTCCTCTGGTTTGCTTACAAGTGTAAATACAGAACTTACAGAGCAGTGTTCAGCTGAAACTGCGATTAACAAGATCTCCCAGTGAACACAGCTGACAGTCTAATATGAGAGAGATGAATGGTCTCTCTCCAGAGGTAAAACATTGCATGTGTGGGCTGCTCACGGAGAAGGTAAAATAAGCTTTGTGTGTTTCATTACCTTAATCTGATCACACTGTCCTCTAATGTTACATTGACAAAGCACAATTCAGCCAAAGTGACTCATTCTTTTTTAAATTAACAAATTAATTTTTTAAAAGAAAACATCTCTTCCTAAGTTTTTTCAAGGTCTCTTCTTTCTTCCAAAGTGAATTTTGGATGTTTCTTTAGCCGGGCTAGCAATATCTCACTTTCAGCTACAATTAAATTATTTTCTAAGAGTCGGTTTTCAAAGCACAGTGTTGTTCCAGGTATCGCTTGCTTCTGGGTGATCTTCCATGTGCTTCAGCGATCTAAAATCAATGGCGTTAGGCCAGTCTGGGCATCATCTATATCAACAAAGCCATCACACCTATTTACCTAGCCTTTATCTTATGGACAGGCTGTTGTCGGAGGCATCCATAAATGAAAGCTGCTGCAGGGACCATTATCGTATCAACAAAGCTGCTGGACGTAGTGAAACAGGGAGCAAAGGGTTTTGCCTTCTGCTCTTTGTTCTGGTGAAGGCTGTTTAGTTGTACAGTTATAATAATAATGATAATAATAATGATAATAATTGCTTACACTTACATAGCGCTTTTCTGGACACTCCACTCAAAGCGCTTTACAGGTAATGGGGACTCCCCTCCACCACCACCAATGTGCAGCATCCAATCTTCAGAAGTTTATTTGTTTGGCGGCAGGCAAGTTTTATGCAAATAGTTCCTTTTCCTCTGGAATGCAGTTTGAATGTTTCAGTTTCTCAAGGAGTAAAATGTGCCGATGCTTGTTTTTGTTCCTAAGGGCTGTGAATTCTGGGTCTGTATAAAGTCTCCTCAGCTATCTTCATCTTAACCTGCATCTGTCTGGTGACCAGAGCGCCTCGTATGAACCTGGTCACTCAGACTCCCAGAGCTGGCATTGCCATCTGCGTAGTAGCTGTGTCACAGGAATGGGTTCAGGCTAGCTGCTCTTGTTGACTTACTATTGCAGGAAGAACACAGTACTTCTACATTGAAAGTAAATATTCCAGAGGACAAAGTGGCCCTCTGCCCCAGTACGGTTGGAGGAGGGTTCTGTGAGGCTCACTCCTTAAGAAGGCTCCGTGGCTGAAATGTTGTGTTTTCTTTCTTCTCTTTTCACCATGGAATAAACCTATTACCTGTTCCTTTGCAGCCTACGCTTGCTGACGTAGCTACCCACCTTATTTACAGCAACACCATCTCAATGCATTGCAGCTGACTGACCTCTGGGGCCTCAGGCGGAGGAGGAGAGGTTGATGTTATTCCGAAATTAGGGATCTGTTTCCATTTGTGTCCAGTGTTTGTTCCCCCTGCTATAAGGCAGTGACCCCTGATCCCTCGGGGCAGATGATGTCATTCTGCCCTCTCCTCAGACTGCAGGGGGAGCTGAATACTGAAGGAACCATTCAGTACCTTTCTCTCTTGTTCTCCTTCCAGATTCTGCTCTCCCTTGTCAAAGGCATTTCAAAACCTGTCACCTGCAAAATTCGCATCCTGCCTTCGGTAAGTTGCCACATGTCAACTCTGCTGGGAATCAGCCACCCAGGCCAGGCTGTGGGGGGGGTAGATCTCTCTGCTTGGTCTCTGTGGGGGGACAAATCACTGTGCTGGATCTACGGGCCAGGTTGTGGGGGGACAGATCTCTCTGCTGGATCTCTGTAGGGGGACAAATCTCTGTGCTGGATCTGTGGGGGGACAGATCTCTGTGCTAGGTCTACGGGTCAGGCTGTGAAGGGCAGCAGATTTCTGCGCTGGGTCTACGGGCCAGGCTGTGGGGGGACAGATCTCTGTGCTGGGTCTACGGGCCCGAGTCTTCTCCCAGGCTCCCGGCTCTCACTCTGTTGGTTAGTGTTAGTGAAGCATTTCTAAATCTGCTACCTTATTTTATCCTGTTTTCCTCCTTTAATTGCTTCTAAATGGATTTGTCTGTGTGCATTTCTGGCTTCCAAAAGAGTTGCTGCTTACCAGGGTGTTAGTCAGGGGAGACAAATAATTAAAATCTGGCAGCCATGCCTGAAACCTACGGCAGCAGACTGATTCACTGTGTAGTTGAGCAGAGCTGTTCTGCCGTGTGTGCAGCTTGGGCTGCAGGAGTAAGAACTGCTTTCATTTCTGTGTGATCCAGAAAACATGCGATGTGGGACCCCCTCTTCTCTTCTGAGCGATAGAATCTTCAGTCTGTGACTAATGATTGTCTTTGGGGAAGTGTTCTCGTTAATTAAAGCTTCTAATTAAAGAAAATAGATGCTAAGGTTTAAAAATGGGTGACGAAGTGTTCTCTTTCATACATAGCTTAGAATCCCCAGTTTTCTTAAACATGGTTGCTTCCTGGCATGGTCAGCCTTTCTGAGCTCAGCAACATCTTCTCCAGAGTGCTGTGTTTTGGACTGACCGACCTGGGGTTCTCTGTGGCCTGACGGGGCCTCTTCAGCTCGAGGAGTCTCCCAGCACAGCAGGCACTGAGACACTGAGACAGGCTGATTGAAGATACCAGAGACTGATGATTCCCTTCAGGCTGGGCTTCATTTTAATGAATCAGTTTATTTTCCTTGCGGAGCTTTAAAGATGAACATGTCAATTGGAGAAGGCGACAATGATAACAGTTTACACATTAACAAAGCTGAAAATCCCATCCCATTCCTCTTCTTTTGTTGACACTCAGTCATTCTGTTGGAAGAGAGAATGATCATCAGAGAAATCAATTTGCTCTTCAATTTGAAATAGTTCCATCCTGCAGGGCATTTTGCCTTTTGTTTCTGTGAATTGCTTGGCTTTATGAATAAGCTGGGAATTGTTTTTACTGTGTAATTTTGGGAATTTTTAAATTTATTGTAAAATAACTAGGTACATTTAAGTAGTATTTCTTTAGATTTATTTTCCTTCAGTAACAGTAATATTTTTTAGCCTAAACACTTTAGTTAGGAAACAGATTGTACGACAACATGACACCACTCTTATTGCTGGGGATTTAGAGTCTGCTAGTATAAGTCATTCAAGCTGTTCAAGTGAGCAGTCAAGGCTGTGCATGGCACAGATTAATCAAATTGAATTTCCCTTTTAGGGGTTGATTGGTGTGCTGTGGGGCAGTTTCACACCCTTGCTGTTGTGCGGGTGACAGACAGGCTGGGCAGCAGGTAGTGGGCGGCTGACTGACCGGCTGTTTTCTGCCTCTCAGCTGGAAGACACGGTGAGCCTGGCTCAGCGGATCGAGAAGACTGGTGTGGCGGCCATCGCTGTCCATGGCAGGTACCTGGCACTGCTGCCATATGGCCTGTGGCTGCTTTGATAGAGGACCATCTGCCCCATTTCCGATATAGTAGACCCATATTTTTATATTTTAAGCCTGTCCTGGGCCTCTGGTCCCTTTTCATCTTGGGTAAATTGTCCCCACATGGGACCAGTGCTGCAGTCAGTGTTTTGCAGGTGTGCTGAAGAGCTGCAGTGTCCTCCCCCTCCCTGTCTGCCTGCCAATTTGGGCATTGCGTAGGGGAGGGATGGGGGAAAGAGGGGTCCTGCTTTTCATCACGGCTCCTTTTTCTCTCAGGAAGAAAGAGGAGCGACCCCAGCACCCTGTGCACTGTGACGTCATCGAGGCTGTGACCAAGGCGCTGTCCATTCCTGTCATTGCCAAGTAAGTCCTGGGCAGGGACACAGCCCAAGAGTGTCTGGATGAGCTCATGTAATAGAAACATGTCAGGATCCTTCTGATTTTATTGGTGACACTTATTTTCCAAAACTGACTTCTTATTTGAGAGATTCACTGATAAGCGCAGCTGGCTGTGGTTCGTAGGAGAGTGTGAGCACATTGGGCTGTGATTCACTGGTGTAATGTGTCATGTATGACCGTGAGCGCAGCTGGCTGTGATTCACTGGTGTCGTGCGTGACAGTGAGCGCAGTCGGATGAGATTCACTAGTGTGCGTGACAGTTAGCGCAGCCGGATGTGATTCACTGGTGTGAGTGACC